AATTTTGTGCGTCTAATTTTGGGTTTTGATTTTTGCTTTAGGTCTTGAAAACATTTATAGACATAATTATTGGATTCCCTGTCTTAAACAATTTAAGGAAAAGCTTCTGACTTGATGAGACAAGTATCTAACAGACTTCAAGTTGGGATCACTAAATGGCATGGCTGCAATTATATTACTTTAGCTAAAACCACTCTATTTATACATGTACGAAACCAATGTATTTGTTATCATATATCCAAAATTCCTAGTAACATTGGATAGACTTTATATACAGACAAATCTTACTGAGACCAAACTCGAGCAATAGACAGATCCTCAAATAGTACAATACAATTAGGGCAATTTCGTACAAGAAGAGCACTTACAAACGCATATGCCCTTTGTTCTAACTTCCAAAGAGCAACACTGCAATTCAAACTATGTCCATAAATAGATACCAAATATAATAATTATGAAATCATTATACTTACATGAAAGACGGACTGATTTTGGGTCTTAGTCGTTGAAGAAAAGTCGTCAAATATAATGGCGTGAAGGAGCAGGAAGTTTCTGTAAGCAACCTTCAAAAGTTCATGTGACAATTTCTCTGACGAGCCAATCAAGGCAAGGATAGGCGAAGTAGAGGATGAGAAACGACGGTAGAGCCAGCAAGAGAGTGACTAGAATGTACATCACTAGTATAGCTGCACTGGTTGGTATTGCATAGAGTATTATCAGCAGAAATATGACAACCAATGGGAACTTTGCAGTCAATTGGACAAAGAAAACCAGAGACTTCCTCAGTGAAGTTTGTATGTTGTCCCTGGGATTGCGATGAACATGATCAGAACCTGATGGTTCAAGTTGACTGCGATGATGGCGATGGTTGAGACATGGTGGTTCCCTTGTATGGTCATTGTTTACTCCGGTATGATCTCCACCGGACGAATTGCGTCGCTCACCATTCATCCTCTCAACCATCCAAAGCACAAAGTAGTTCTTGTGAGGGAATCTGAGTGTTCCTCTGAAGACAAGACGGAAGGACAATAGGTTGCACCACGGGCATGAAATGAAGAGAGGAAGCTGAACCGGGTGAGTAGGTAATTTCACAATAGCCCATTGAAGTCCTAAAATGCAGTTTTTGCACATTGTGTGACCACACCATAGCACATAGGGAACGTTTTCGACTATGTTGAATGATTCCCAGCAAATAGGACACTCGAGACCTTCGTCTTTGCTGCCTACAGATGATGCATCGTCATCTGAACATTCCGCATGAGCATGGACTGGTTTTCTTGTTTCATTTTTCGGTCCTATGTTTCCGGTAAGATAACTCGATGCCAGATTCCACATTCTGGTATTAGGGATTGATAACATGAAGGGCCTTCTTCCTTCTTCGACAGATAAAAGGCAAATCCGGATCTTCTATTTACCAAACTCTAAACTTCACGAAGCTCCATGGTGGAAGAAGATCCCCTACCTAAACAAAATTTTATAAATGTAGCAGAAATATTAACCCGAAATTGAAATCAATTATCTGAGATTCTGATAAAGCAGCCATAGATAGCAAGATTCAAATTCATGTTTGATGATTCTTATGCTTAGAATCGATATCATTTTGAAGGATTGTGATAGTTTCATCCACTACATTCAAGCTTTTTGTGACTTGTATTTAGACCTCAAGCTCAATCATTACTTTATCTTTGAGCTAAATCTAAACCCACGCATATTCTAGGTGAG